TGCATGACCTCGTGATATTTTGCTTCATAAACATGCCCATCCTCGACCATACCACCTATGGACTGCATGGGTAAAGCAGAAGGGGATTGCTGCCCATCCATGCCATGCCTGGAGTGAATAACTCTGGTATGGTCAGGTGAAGATGTTCCTCCAGACTCTCCACCGCATTGTCACCCTCCTTTCTTCAAGTATAGTATGGGATTTCTTACCACTTTCTAGTTCCAAACTGCTGGGGTGGTTGACCATGGAGGCATCCTGCTGAATAAGTTCTACACAATAACCATTCAGTTACATAGTAGGGCAGTGGTGTTCTGCGGGTGTAGATGACATGATATCCTCTTATTTGTGATAACCCTTCAATTGGGAGCCCTCATCCTACCCTCGTGTGGATGTCAGTACCCTGCAGGCAGGTTTTGAATTTAGCGTGAATCGATCAACATTATTCCTCACACGTTTCAAGTTGGCTATCTTCCTCCGTCGATTTATTTTGTCTGTGTTGTGGGTCACAGAGTGGTACATGCAATTGTTTTAGTTGTATCCCTGGTTATCCCTCGTCCTCTCTTCTTATGGGAATGTTATTGCCATTTGAATGGATCCGGCCTGTTTCACGGTTGGGGGAGTTGATTGCATGTGATAGACATCCTTTCAATACTAGATGTCAAGATCCAGGATCATTAGCTCAGAGCTAATCCTCATGTCATACCCAGTCATCAGAGTTGTTCTCAATCCCCTAGCTCTTAGGTTTCAGGTGAAGACAGTATGATCCTCATCCTACCATTGTGCAGATGTTGTTGAATTACCGAATACGATCTGCCTCGCCCTAGCCAATCTACACCTAGTGGAGCATCCTTTGTTTACCCACCTTTCTCATTTTGGGATTGAGTTCAGCATCTTTCTATGGTTATGATCACTTTCCTCCCATATTCTCCTCTCAATTATGCCCTTATATCTTACACATTCCACAGTTGGGCGAAGAGTATACCTGGCTCAAAAGTTGTGCAGTTCCCCTCTTCTGACCTTTGCATCTGAATTTCTCATTTCTAGGGGTATCCTTTGAATGCTTTTATGGGGTTCTTCTGTCATTTTCTCACACTGGTCCCTCCTCTGTATCAATGTGGGATTCTAGCTAATCTTGTGAGAGGAGGTAAGTACTGTATCAGAAGTTATAATTTTCCTATACTGAAAATGTATTTCTGAAAGGTATTTGTGTTCTCTAACACTTCCCACCCTTCCTCCCCACATTTCTTCAGTGCTCACATCTGCAAAACTTCAAAGTGATAGTTTGGTAGAGGAGTGTAGAGTGAGTCACATGCATCACATGAGCATTTCATACTCCTATTGGTTGGAAAGTGACACCTGATTATTTGGATGAGAGACATGTTGAAATCTTACAATTCCAATAGGGAGGAGAGGAAGGCTTGGGGCATGCATAAAGAAAACGTTTGCATATGGAGGGCAGCACTGAATGAGAAATACTAATCTTTTGAGTAGAGGTAAGTACCTATCAGAAATACATTTTCAGTATAAGAAAATTATAACTTATGTTAACCTGTACCTATTAACTCTTTCGAGACAGGTTGCGGGTGAAAGGCCCTGTCATCTCGTTTGTTGACTCGCATTCAAAATTTAATTGAACTACTATTTCACGAATTTATGTCAATAACTTTGGTATCAAACTGTAGATTATAATTCAAATTTTAGTATTATACATTACTCAATTTCTTAATTTAACAGTAAATATAAAAAACAAACAGATAAATATCAATTTTTGTGTGTCACGTGGTATGTTGAATGCAGCACAAGTTCAAATGAGATGTTTGTGAAGTAAAAATACTAAATCTATAGTTTTGTATGAATTAGAAACTCAAATTACTGATATTGACAAGCTAGAATATAAAATAAGGTCTTTTCTATTTGCTAAGATATTGCTCATCTAATAAATCAAACACAGTGGCACCTCGCCTACCTTTTTCCATTTTTGGAAATGCTCCCTTACATACACTTACTTCTATATATGACATGAATAATCAATCACAAGTTCAGAGTGTCCCCTTGTGGCTTTATCAGCCATTTTAATGGACTTGATGCCATTTTTTTCTTTTGAACCAATATTTCAACAAGGTGGAGTATGTCTTTAGTCTGCTCGGAATTCCATTATTTTTTAAACTAAAATACAGCTTAGTTACTAAGCTCGATAAATAATAGTGGAATTCTATGGTATTAATGTAGTAATTTATGATTTTTCAGTTATTTAAATGTATATATAAAACCTAAAAAAATTTGTTTCATATCCTCCACATGCAATTGTTTTAAAAGTTTAGCAACCTACGTCAAGCAGCAACCGAATACAAAAGTTGTCAGTAGAAGAGATAATTGTTTGCTTTACTTCTTTATTTAACTGTTCTATGTTTTAAGAAAAAGAAGTTTAAGAACTTATTTCAAAATAGCAATAATCTATACACATATATAATGTACAATAATATTTTACAAAATACTAGTCTACTAAAACACAACCAAGACAAGTTACTTTGTACAGACCAAAGGTCAGTTTTATGTTATTTGATATGGTAACATGAGTGCACATGTGCCACATCATTGTAACTTCTGTATTGTTATTCAGGCACGGCTGAAAGATCAGTATAATAAAAATAATAAATGTTTATAAATGTATAATGTTATGAGATTTAAGCTATTTAGATTAAACATTTATGTTTTTGTGTTCATTATAGAACAAAAGAGGCATAATTTATATTTATTTCCTAATTTTTATGGTGGTTACGAGATCGGTCAAATCTACCAAACCCATACAGAGAATAATTACAGAAAATAATCAGATAAAATATAAAGTTTTTTCATAAGAAACGTTTGATCACTATCTGGACATTATAAAG